GGAGAATGCGGTGGTCCAAACGATCGAACGCTTTAGAGAAGTCCAGATAGACAACGTCGACTCCCACTCTGGCATCGGCTGCGTCTGTCCAGCTTGCTCGGGCTAGCAGTAAGTTTGTAGTGCATGATCAATTTCTGCGGAATCCGTGTTGCTGTGACACTGGGATGTTGTTACTCTCAAGATATCCCATCACCGTCTTTGCAATTATAACGTACCTTATTTTGGGTAAAACTGGGAGGAGAGTGATTGGACGGTAGTTCGAGGGCTCCGAACGATTACCACATTTGTAAATAGGAGTGACTAGTCCGTGTTTCCACATTGTCGGAACCTGCAGTTCGTCGAGACAACGTTGAAAGAACCGAGCTAATGGTTCGGCAAGGTTCATGGCCGCTGTCTTCAATGTCTTCGGTTTGATGTCGTCCACGCCTGGTGAGCTGTGCACGTGTAATGACGTTAGCGTTTTCATCACATTAGCTGCCGTGAACAATACGTGGTTTAACCCTGGTGTCGATGGAAGCTATGTAAAAAGCGGATGAAATGATGATTCACTCCGGAAAGTATGGATGAAGTGTTGGCGGAGCACGTTGGCTGCACCTTTCGCGGTTTATGCAAGACCATCTGTTGCACGTAAAATCGGGATCCCGCGCTCTATTCTGCGGAGCTTGTTGACGTGTCTATACAGCAACTTGGCATTTGTATTGAAGTTTAACGCTATGTCCCCTTGCTGCTGGAGTTTGTCTTCGCGGATCAACTTGACGCAGTGGTTTCATTGAGTTGTGTAAGCACCCCAGGTCAGATTACTTGGACAGGCTTTGTAAGCGCGCCAGGCTGAATCCCTTAAGGCCATGAATTTTCTAGTACGGTTCCTCAGGAACGAATTCACTTGCTTCGGGCGAAGGACTTTGCTTTCTGACGCATCTGCCACTAGCTCAGTGAATTGGGTGACGAACAACATCCAGGCGACATCAGGCGGCTTCTCGGCCAGGAAAGACCGGTCGGTTTCTTGAAAGAAGTTGGACAGTTGATCGTAATGTGTAACGCCATAGGTTTCAACCTTGTTCTCACTGATGTACTCCGAGTAACAGATGTAACGAAAGAGCAACGTCGCGTGATCGCTACGGCCAAGTGGTGCATCTATGTTCACGGTGTCGACCATTAATTTCTGGATGGAGAGCAAAAGGACCAAAACAGAGGGTGTGTCACCAGTTCGGAATCGCGTGGGAGTGGTGACATGGTTGTACGGAGGTACATCGGCGATCACCTCTTGTAAATCCGCCTTGAAGTGTTCGAAGTGCGAGGTTGGAACTTCGATCGCGTGCAGGTTGAACTCCCCCACCAGAAGGACGTGACTGTATGGTCGTGTCAGGACTCGTTTCATCGCAGAAGCTAGGCATTGATCCATTTCCAAGGTGGACATTGGAGGGCGGTAAACCATTGCTAGTTAACACACATCGCCATGGCTCAGGTGCATACGACACCAAAGAGCATCGACGACTTGCGTTTCTGGGTCCTCAATGACATAAACATGCAGGTCTGATGGATAATAGAGGAGCAGTTTCCTTCCTCTGCTAGGTCGATCGTTTCGTATGGAATTCATGCAGGGTAGTGCAATCTCAGCACCAGTGATCTCCATCTCCAGCCATGTTTCGGTGGCCATAACTAGGTCCCAAGGCCTGGAGACCTGACGCATAGAAGTTCGGTTAGCTTGCTGAGAAGACCTTGTGCATTGGTATACAAGCAGGTGAGGGCATCGGTGGTCAGAAGCGTGTTTGTGATTTCTGGTTTCCGGTGAGGGCCTATGCCGACCGTTGCGGGGTCGGCTGCCGATCACTTTTTTCTGTAGGACCGACGCTGCAAGCCCTAGGACCAGTTCAGGTTGTTGTATAAAGCTCTCAGCACCAACCAGAGGGTGACCATCCTGTCCTCCTTCAGCTGTCGGTGAGTTTCAACATTGTTTCCGTTCTGTGCTACACGGTGACAGAATTGTACTGGTAAGTTTCTTGCTTAGTGTTACAATGTCTCTCTGTGACCCGGTGCCTATTGCCTTTATACTTATTTCGGATGGCAGCATTTTACGCTTTTTGTGCCACATTTTGATCACACGTTTTATCATCAGTTCAGAATGCAATGATATTTTCATCACTCTGTAACCACACCCTTTGTAGTTAAGTGATAGTGGTAACCTTGATGTCGAATTAGCGATAACATTTTCGAGTGAGAGTACTTCACGAATAAAACGCCATTCATCCCAGTCATGCGCTTTGACCTCTAGCTCGCTTAGTGACTGGAGCTCGAGGACACCGTGAACTAGGATAGATTTTGCGTATTGTTGTTTACCGAAATCATCCGGACTTTGTTTGCGTTTCTGGCGTTCGCTCCAAAGAACCTCTGGAAATATTTAAAAAGCGCATGTGGTGGTACGGAGGCGAGTGGCTGACAAGAGAACTGCCTCTGCATCATCACCTGACTAAAGTGTTACCTGGAGTAACCGCGGTTCACCGTAGTGTACGGAGTTTGGGTGACGGACGAGACGCATCATACTGACTGGTTTAGCTTGAACCCCTATTAGTTGACACAGAGAGCCCCACTGTTTTTTGTCGTCTAGTATCTTATCTTCTATGGAGTTCGCCCCGGATTCAGTCATATTAGAGGACATAACAGTTAGAGAATTATGGTAGTGTTTTATATTCTCCTTTTTGGAAGGGACAGTGGCTGCTTTTTTCGGTTGGACAAGTGATGAAATCTTGAGTCCCGTGATGGTATTGGCAGTACTAACTCGTTTGGTAACGGGCGGGGTTGTAATGGGAGGTGCCTCCGTCATATAAGTAGAAACAACGGACGCGTAGGTTGTCGCCCCTCTAACATTGTTTAGTGCGGCGGAGGATTCTGTTGAGAAATGTGTGGCGAAGGCATCTTCATAAGGAGACGCTAGTGTCGCAGTGGCTAACTCTGGATCGTTACTTTTACACTGTGCTGAATTTGAGCCTGAGGTTGAGCATTTAGTTCGAGACCCTGATTTGTTTGGTTCATATAGGACAGCTTTCACGGCTGCTGCCTGCTCTACAATCTTTGTCAGCCCATCATACTTCTGCACTAACACAGTTATATATCTGACGAGTGGAAGAGACGTACACTCAGTGAAGAACTAGAGAGAATCAGTCGTGCTATTAAGCTTTTTTATCTGGCTGAGGCTAAAGCGAGCCCATGGAGAATGGAAGTATTTTCGTCAGTTTCTGCATTCTATTCCAAATCGCACAAGTTTTACACAGCTGTCTACGTAACAACTAAAGTTTATTTCGGAAACTTTTGGCTTAGCTTTCCGTGGGCAACCAGTAAGTGCCATTGTGAATATCAGATCTGCGGAAGCCGTTCGTTGCAACATCTGCACTGGTATGTTGAATTCAAACGCAGTCGGTCAAGCTGATGGTCTTACAGACACATGTTCGATTGCTGTAGAACAAATCCAAGATGGCGGACACAGACGGCAGTTGGTCAGTTAGTGAGCTCTCCGACAGTAGCCGAAGAATACCCACCAAATTCGCACAGATGGCAAATTCACCAAAAGCAATGTGTAGGTGCAAAATTCACACAGAGCAAGCCATGTATAACACAGCATTTATAAAGCAGAAGTAGAATCCAGCACGGTAACGCAAACATCCACGGCGTCCGTGGGTACAGCCCATGACAGTTACGACAAAAACGAACCCAATCACCACTGCCAAGGACTCACAGGTGGGCATCGTGTAATGCGAATCACTTTGGAAAGTTCCATTTTTACAACATATCACTTGGTGTTATATTTTGGCCTGTGACTGCGACTATCCTCTAACTCAACTCCCGGTTGCGTAAATGTCATCCGAGTTCTCAATAACTGCCGCACCAAATGCCTGCGCTTTGTATTGGTAAATATAGACGCAAAAGGATGTGGTTTTGATAGTCGTAAAAAACAGGGAGCTATCAAACAAATTAGACACTGAGCTACAAACCACGACGATATCGCTCTGTTCCAGGTGCGAGTACGCCTGATTTCTACACGACAAAGCTCGCAACCTAACGGTACAAATAAACAGCAGCATGAGCAAACAAATCGTGAACTCCTGCGCAACAAAACAGAAGTTTGCCGCTGAGCGTCTGTGTCTGTTGCTGTCAAGTGAACAGCTTAACTACACTATTAGTTATAATGAATACATCAACTGGGACCCAGTAAACAGTTTGGGTTAATTAACATGAAAGCTTGTGTCGAATTCAGGATAGTGTCAAGCTAGACCTTACCATAAATAAGAACCGGTGGTAGTGTGAAGACACATAGGGGTATTCATGTTGGGAAACGGATCTCTGGGGTCTATGCCTATGAGGGACAAAACAATGGCAATTAGGTTGGAACAGTTTTGGGTCCTAAACGCGCCATATCTAGTTATTGTTACTCAAAACGATTTTTACGTTTGGGCTCAAGCAATGAGCACAGCGCATACGGCGTACCGAAATAGGGTTGGCCTTAAGCACAATGCCGATAGTAATAAATAATTATATTATATTATAATAATATCTGTATCGTAAAACATTTATCTCAAAATACGTTGTTACGTGACTTCGTTGGCCCTTAGATATCATGTATTTATCTGTCTGGGTTTTGATCAGAGGTGGTGTTAACTTTCAGCGTACCTTACCTGAGTGTTATGGATAAAACTGCCATAGTAATTGCATCAGTAAAAGTATTATGTGACGGTATGTACTACTGAGCGACTTGCTCATCGTCCAACTATCTTGCTAGAATATGGACTCAGCCTACGGTATCCTACATTACAATCAACTCTGGAAAACAACTCCGGTCCAATTGCCCTGGTAATAAATGGCTCTTAGTTCGTTATAAACGATTGTCTTATGAAGGCAACAGTAAGCCAACTCCGATTAGCCATCGAGCTATTCCAAGGGGACATATTTTACCGAGATCCAGAGAAGAGAACTTTCACGTAGGAATAAGCAGGTTAACATGTGTTTACCTCTTTTCGCAACCGAATTTCCCACTGCGGACTCTCATAAGCGTAATATCTCATTTCGTGTGGCATAGTCGTTGATGTATGCTTCTCTGCAGAGAAAGCAGTAGGCACCGAAGCTTCCTGAAGCTGCAATCCAAACCTAACATGCCCCATGGTGTCATCAGGAGAACGCGGCCTGGGGAAAGAGCCACCTTCTGGAATCCGCCATCTTCGCTCTCTCAGACTACGAGCTCGACGAATATGTGACTCTGAGCGAGATATGTTTGGAAACCTCTTCTGTGCCATCTTTCGAACGGCGGCATTCCAGCTCACTTGGGATATTCGTTTTGGTTTAGTGACGAGGTTCGGGACTGGTAGGCCTGCCTAAAGAGGTAATAAAGGACAGGAGTAAAAATACTGGCTTATAGCTATAAAAATTTTGTAAACAAGCGGTTGGTGTGCTTATTGGACTGTTAACTTTCTAAAGACAATGCATGCTCTGAGCTCCGTTTGCAGTAAAGAGAGAAAATTAGTCGCACCTTACTACCGAAGTGTGCCGTCAGAGGTTAGTGAAGTTAACAACCCTTTGATATGAAGTGATCACGAGCATTAACGATTCGCTGATGAACGATCCGACGAAATAGCGACATGTTTTTGTCGGTGCACAAGGTGATATCATAATTGTCTTTCTCAAACTCCAGTGTTGAGGATCGCAGTGCAATGTAATATCTTATGAGTTCTTTAACTCCTCGCGGCTAACTTCGTAAAGTGAATTGAAGGTTCCACTACATACCGTAAATAAGGCTGCAAACGTAAAGTGAACTACTACATGTATTATAACTCCAATGACCGTAAACATTAGAAGTATTTATTGGATACCTTGGTAGGATAGTGATTTTCGTATTTTATATCATCCTCCTTCATTCAGAGTGCCGCCCACGTAGTACACAAATATGATGGTAAGAATCGAAGGAATTATTGTGAAAGTTAACAACCCTTGATGTTTTCAGTATTAATATGGTCTTCGACTGCAGTACGCAAGCGAACATGTTACGCAATTTTAATTTGGACGACCTAAAGCAAGAATGTCCAAAGTCTGGTCCACGGGCCAAATGCGACCCGCGTTAACAATTCAACTGGCCTGCGGCCTCATCAGGAAAGAATACCTCTACGTTGGTATTTTTGCCGTACAGATGACATTGTAAAGAAGACAAAAATTACGGACGTTAAGAATACAAAATTCGACAGTGTCAGTTACTGGCGAAAATCAACGTTGCACTATTATTTATTTTAAGTAGCTAGACTAGTTCGGTCTAATACTTTAAATAAAGAGGTTTTAAGTAAATCAAATAACACAAACATCTTCAGATCTCGGTTTCTCCATTTACATTAAAAACTCGTTATGAAAGGTTTATAAGATATTTCATTTTTAGTTATAGTCTTAATGTCAGACTAAATATGGTCCGACATATTTTTACCTCACAAAAGGTGGTCCTCTTTGCGAAAAGTCTGGACATCCCTGACCTAAAGCCATCCAGATCACTACAGGCCTCTGAACTCTCCAGCAGTACCAGGGTATCGCTCACACTAACACATGAAGGTAGGGAGCAAGCGCCAATCCGCATGGTAAACTAACATATTAAGGGTGTATATCGCAGGTGTACAAGCGCTTCTACGCATCAAGATCTTCTTTGCCGAAACACTGCGCAAACGACCGCTGAACTACAGGCACGATGAGGAGTGCTTAATCAAGGTTGCGACCAGCGTCGTTTGTATGGAAATTTATGAACTGTTTACTACAAGTGCTGTCAGTTATGTATTTCACCCAGGCCTGACACATGAGAAGCGACCATCTTCATTTACTAGCTCAAACCTAAACAAGTATATGAGGGCTGCATGGGAGTCTACCATATCCCTCCTCACCATCTTTACTTAAATCAGCAGAGTACCGATAAACAACCGTGTGGTCACACAGTATACTCCATGTGAGACTCCATCAGGAAAATCCGTGTTATGGTTTCATGTATGCCAGGAGATAAAGTGAAGTATTGTGTTGCTAGGACTCGGTGTTGTACTTCGTAGCTTTTACTCTTCCGCATTGGTGAGGAACAGAAAAAGCCTGTCTGGGAGAAATTAAATTTCCAAGGAAAATGCATACTTTCAATGCTAAAACGATTTGAACCAATGGTTCTGGACAAAAGAATCAACTGTTTTTCAGGGCTCGAAACCTTCACCTACCCTAGATCTTCACTGCTACTTTCCTTAACTGACCCAGCAATTCCATGACGAATGCTCTCTGATTGTCTCATAAAGATGCGAGTATTTTGAGACTACTAACATCCTTTCAGTAGCTGCGTTTTACCAGGCGTTCGTATCAAGTTGCTGACCTCCATTCTGGATGGGAATGGGTACCCGAAGTAACCATTCCAACGGGAATCGCATACAAACGAGAAGATCGAGCAGCGTCACTATTTCAAACAACCTCGAAGTGAGTATGAATACAATGTACTTCAATATGTAGTCCCAAAGCATACTGTGATCAGAACCGTTCGCACACTACGGATAAATACGTTTAACATACCTGTGTCCCAGCCTCACTAGGCGAATCAACCAGTGTACTCGTCGCAGCTGATGGAGCAATTCTTAGTGGAGTAGGTCCATTGTTGATTAATGTACCCGTGGAGGAATCCTTTACAAGTAGACTAAAAATGATACACATAGAAGCTATATTATCAGTCACAGTATGAAGCAGGCTGCAGCGCGTTACCGTAATTCATGAAGTGAGATTCATTTTAGACTTATCAACATAGAGCGGTATGTAGTTATTCAATGGCGCTAAATACATAAGTGCCTATAAAGTTTAGACGGGTTTCCAAGGACTTCCGGGAGTAGTCATACTAACAAATATGTCAGAAGTTAAAAATATCTGTGCACAAAATGCCGATTAGGTTTGAGCTCTTCTAATAATGCTGGGGCCATCTCTCGTCCAGAGACGACTTCAGATAACTAGGAATAGCGTGTGACATCATTATAATACAACTATACTTCACCATCTGCATGCGACGTTTCTATAACGAATACCGGACGTGTAGTGTCCTTGAGTTGAACTTGGGCTATGGCGAGATGCAATGAACAAATTATCCACGTATTCGAGCTTGGGCGACCCTGTCGTAAAAATAGTAGAGGAATAAAACGGAACGTATCGAGATTGCCTAACTTTTTACAAGCAATAATCTTCAAGAAGTTCGCATGACAGCATGTTTTCAGTAATTCAGTAGGCAAAAATAGCTTGTATGTGCTAAAACCGCAATCGCGCTGTGTCACAGAGGTCTTCAAGTCATCTCAGTGTTTGAGTACGGCGCTCACTGAAACACTTAAAAGGTGGGTACATGTGAACTATGGCCGATGGGTTCTCCAACTGCGTTATCGTTACCAGGGTATGTTCACTCACTTTCTACTGGTCAGCAAGGGAGCGAAAAGCATTCGGTCAATCCGTTCGTCTTGTTTTCTCTGGAGACGGTAAGTGGGGAATATGCGATACGGAACGATATTGTTAAAGTTGCACCACTCAGGCGGCAGTTCAGAGGCGCTGAACAAATCCATCACATAGTGGTAACCGGGGATGTCAAGAACCAATTCTGAAGTATGGAAACTGACGGTCCAACCAGTAACAATGTGCATTGAACGTGTCCTTTGGAATTCAGAGAAACAAAAGACGAAATTTAACAATCACCAAAACAGCAGACGGTAAGAAATTCACATACATTCATTAAATTTAAAGAGGGAAAACGTTGGAAATTCACTTGTGGTAACGCGCTTTCACCGTCACACGTCCATTAAATATGATGTGTATTCAAACATTAGACTGCTGTTCTTTCAAAACGACGGTACTTGACGTGTTACTCGGTGTCAGGGAAAACAGTTAACATTGAGGGACGCTGGAATGATTAATCCCCGGTTGAATGATTTTCAGGGGGTTAACCTCTAACTTACGGACATCAGCTCATCATCATCATCATTAACATCAATACACGTTAGCTGAGGGTGAGAAACCCACGTCAGGTAATTTGCTGCCATATAAAATGTTAAGATACAAACAATTATACTACAAAGCACTCAAAAAGCAAGTAGTATTATGTTAACTACTTTAGTATGCATTTCGTATGAGGTTATATTGAAGGGGGAATCTAAAGAGAAAGGGGTGGACAAAGGAACGCACAACGCAAACGCCACTGGAACCGGCACTTCGCCATATCAGCAAGTGTGTCCAACCAAACGTGTTCATCGTCCTTGGGACTTCAGCCAGGCAGTCGGGATGTTTCAACCCACGCCAACTTCGAAGCGAGGGTTTTCATTTCTTTTGACCAAGCCATCGCTTGGCGTGCAACCAGCGCATAACGCCGGCGTCGGTGTACTGGCATGCGCAACACGTGGCCCAGCTATCGGAGCATGGTATGTAATATAATCGTGCTGAGCGGTTCACTCGCCCTTCCTGTACCGAATACGCGACGCCGAACACATTCCCTGCTTCCATCAGACATGAGCGAAGCTGCGAAAGCGGCAATGACTGAACGTGACTAGCCTCTTTAGGTCTGTCGACCTGATGGGTCAGGTTTCACAACCGAACAGGACGGTTGAACTGCGGCCGCATTATGAGCTCGGCTTTTCAAGGCGAGAGTGATGTCGCGTCCGCGCCACGTCACGTGACTGAGAGCTGAGATCTGACAACAGACGGCAAGCCCGCATCGGCCATCCCTTGAAAGCGACTGAGGCGTGGGCGTAGAAAGCATCGAGCTTCGCATGTACACAGGATAAGACAATTAACCAGAGAATGGGTATCACTGGGTGCGTCGCTTACTGTCCTCTTTCTTACGGACTGGTAGGACTGCTCTATAGTTGTTGGACTACAACAGTCAGACTGTGTCGTCTGCGACGATTGGAGAGGAGGAAAATCAACTACCCGGACCATGAATCCACAGGACCGTACTTGGAAGCCATCCACAACTGACCTTCGACTGATGATGATCACAACTGGAGCAACTAACAGTCGCTTTACTGTGCCGTGGTTGATACAAGTGAAAATTTGAAGCTAGCGCTCTTGGATGGACAGAATCTCCCGGTTTCAGTATCTAGATTTCTGCAGTTGGGAGTAACGGGAAACACCTCCAATAATACACTCTCAGCTCACTTTCCTGTGTACCAGACGTTGCTATTAGCAGAAGTAACATTCGGACCGACATCAAAAGTCAACACGGTCATCTGCGCGGTGTGAAGATGGCTTGCAGATAGGGGTGTGAGCCTCAATAACCCTCAGATGATCACGTGCACGTTCATCAACAAACCCAAGCTGATCGCTTTTACTCGGGTCGATGACCCCCAAGCTTACTCCGGGTTTGAACAGCAGATGATCACTTGTAAGATATTTTGATCATGGCATAAACTTTCCTTTTGATTCTTGGAGGGTCACTTAACAGGAGGCATTATTTACCAATGGCATGTCATTACAGTGTGATTCTATCACCATTCTAGACTCCGATTTAGATGAGATGTTCGCAGAGGACTGACACCTGCTCCATCAGTCATGTCTATTGGTGTTCGGCCCATGGCCATAAGCACAACACGTCTGCATTACAATCCGGAAATCGATGGTTCGACTCTGCGTAGGGGACCGGGCGACCCTCGCAGTATCCTTAGCCTACGCGCGACTGGGGGTGCGTGGCAGCATAGCGTCAGTATGGTGTACTGTTGATAGCATCTTTTCACATCAGTTCACTTGATGAGCGATGAGCAGCGTCAATGTTCACTGTATATGTAATTTGCCAACTTGATCAGTAGAAAACACTTATACTTAGGTTCCGTCGGTTCAGGTATGATGGACCATGGAAAAGCACACATTAAGCTGTTCCGACTAAATAGGATCCAGATTACATTACCACCTTTTACACTTGTAGTAGACTGAACCTGTAGATAACCTTAAGCATAATCGCATTCCACTGAGATTCGCCGATGCGACGCTGATCTGTATAGAATTGAAAAACTGCAATTCAACAGAAGGTGACAGTGATGGGGGTAAGCTACGATTGGAGGTCCGTTAATGTTTTGTTCGAATACCTCGCATATCGCGGTGACCATTCTACTAAACGCGAATCCATTCGCCTTGGATGTGAGATTAACTGTATTCGAGGGGACGCAGAATACTGTGACCTTTACTATCTTTAGGTCGCTCGTCGTGTAGATTCCACTAAGCTTCTGGTACCGGCAGTTTCCACTTCACCTAGTACATCGATACCTTAATCCAGCGGGTCAGCCCAGTTATGTATCTCGCTCTCGCAGTTTCCACTTGTTGAACAGAGCGATGCGCTAACGTACAAACGATGACTGTGCGCTCATATTGTTATGTGGTTTAGCAACGAGCTGACATCTGATACAACCTACCGTCCGCTGCTTGCGCCCTGGATTAGGCCCCTGCCGGTGTCCGAGAGCGGGCAGTTTAGAAGTTTGATTTAATTTTTGTAGTCGTAAGAGCTCGTTCCAATAAGCTGGCTATCATTTCGGAAGAAGTGCTGGTTAAACGTAAGACGACAAACCTGTGTGAACGCACGCGATGCCTTCCCAACTGTCCAGTAGGTGCTCTCACAGGCTAAAGCCAAGAGGTCATCAACAGCAAATAAAATTAGAAGCTAGTACCTTGTTTGTACATGATCGTGAGTATGGATACTGTGTTCATTACAGAAAGGAGCGATGAATGCTCGAACTGACAGCTCATCCGGTGTGCATCGCCTACTTTAGTAATGAGTACTGGTTTGGGCTAGTTTCAAAACCATACTTGAGGATTCCCCAAAATGTATTTCATTGGTCGCCTCTATTACAGTAACAAAGCAATTTGCTCTTAATGGATCGTTAAGCAACACAACTAGACTAAGCGATAACATATCATGCCATTCCTTGCAAGCCGGACGGATTCAGTTGTTGCAAGTGTAGGAGTTGACCTCGCCTACCTGGACCTCTCAAAAAGGTTGTCTCTCATTACCATATCCAGTCCGAACTCGTTCAAGAAACCGAATGGTCCTTCCTAGCTGAGCAGCGGCCCAATGTCGCCTGGACAGAACTTGTCACCTAACTCACCGAACTAGTTGCAAATGCGTCTGAAACCGAAATTTTACGCTCGAAGCAAACGGAGTCTTTCCCGAAGAGACGGACTCGAAAGTAAATGGCCTTACAGGATTCAGCTTGGCGCGCTCATAAAGCCAGTCTGATGGTGCAGCACTGAGGTGTCTACATAACACAACTAGATCACTACGTCAAGTTGGTTCATGAAGACAAACCCAAGTGCCAACGGTATTTAGCGATAAAATTCAGCATTCGGCACGCCAAAAAACCCGCAGAGCGGAATAAGAAATCGTAGTCCTATGTGAAGCAGGTGTTTCAATGTTCAGCACACAACAGGCGACAAACGCGCTTCGGCAACATCACATCCGCAATTCCCAGCGAAAATCATTATCTTGACTGCAATCGAAACGGCTCACATCGCACTCAGGGCGAGTCCGCGTAAAATTTAAGTCAGCAAATTTGATGCAAAGAAAATCGTACATCAGCGTGCACAGTTTGGTTGGTGCGGCAGACATTATCAGTTAGGAAAGCCGCCATAAAACTTGTCAAATACATAGCTCGGTTGTTTCAAAGATACCTTGATCAGATGCAAGATATAATCCTGTGAAAACATAGAATAGTCACTCTTTTTACAAGAGTGGCAATTATGCGGAACCCTCCGACTACCGTCCAATCATTCATTCCCAGTAATATCCTCATTATTGGAATGTATTATCCAGAGACACTGATGGGATGTCTTAATATTAACCACATCACTGTG